AGGTAATAAAGGGTTTGGTAAACCGTGTGTATAATTCCAAAGAGGAAGTGACCCAGAGAGTTCAATGTAATACCAGAGCAAATATTAATTATATAATTAAGAAAGAGACAGCCTTAAGTTTGTATATATATATATATATATATATATATATATATATATATATATTAATATTAATATTTTTTTTATTAGAAAATATTTTACATCGCAATAATAAAAATAAAAATATTATCAGCATATATTGTGCTTTTCGTTGCATCGAGTACTTTAAAAAAAGTAAATGCTTAAGAACGGTAGATTCTTAATCTCTGTCCTTTTCCTTTCTTTGTATATATATATATATATATATATATATATATATATATATATATATAAAGAGAGAGAGAAAAAGAAAATGAAAGAGAATGAGATAGATAGATAGATAGATAGATAGATAGATAGATAGAGAGAGAGAGAGAGAGAGAGAGATGGGGGTCAAGCAGCAGTGTTTAAAACCAAACAATTGATATGATTGTAGTGGTGAAGGTTTGTTCAGAGTCAAAAACACCGTTTGGAAGGGCAGAATACAGACAACTGGTGCATAGCATGCCACAAGGTCCCCAAACGTTAGGTTTCGAATTCAGATATGGCCTTTTCCTAGACCGGTTGACTACCAAAGCAACAGAACTTTGTCTTTCTGATTCTAAGCATGAGCGTCCTTTTCGTTTCCATTTTCCTTAAAACGTCCACGCTGAATGCTATGATATAATATCCTCAACATCTTTCTGTAGAACCATGTTTCTATTGTCTGAAGTGCTTTCATCATCCGTGGGAAGATCGTCCAATGTCAATGCTACACGGAAAGACTGACATATTACATATGAGTTCAGCAGTCTTTTTCTTGTTTCTCATGAAATTTTACTGTTTCTTAATACTTTGCTTAGCTTTTGGAAGGCATATTTTGTATGTAAAACGTGCCTTCGAGTTTCTGTGTCCCATCTTGAGTTATCTGTTAAAACATTTCATATTTAAGTTTTCGTACTTTCTTGTATTTGATATTTCCAATTCGTTGTTCGCATCCTGAGATGTTTCTTCTTGTTAACAACCAGGCCTTCTCTCTTTTTACAATTGATAGTTAGTCAATTCTTCTTGATTTCCTTTATTACATTTTCCAGGGGTTTGGAATTCGGTCTAAGTTATCCTTCTTGTAGACTGGTTGCAATTCAAGACTAGAGAATCCCACCTACCCTATTATTTGACACATTTAATCCATATATGTTGGAAATGAAAATCAAAATAATAAAAAATAAACATTTTTCATATTTACGTATGCACACGTATTGTGTAGATTCGCCACATTTTATTTTAAAATTAAATAATGTATACAAGTGTCAAAATACCAGCAGATGTCTGCTAGTTTAATGATTTTTTTTCTTTTTTATCTCAGACATATTTATCATCTTTTTGTTTTGTTGATTTTTTTTGTATACTAGCGGGGAAAGGAAAGAAAAAGTAACTGATTTGTTTATTTTACACATATAGATTCTTCTCGTGCGTATACACATTGATTTGTTTGAGTTTAGCCACGCCTTGGAGATGCTTATAAAAGAGCGAGTTCGCGACTTTCGAGAAGATTTTTCCACAGCAGGCCATGAAGAGTATCTTTAGGCAGAAGGGTGAGTGACGTTATCACCTCTTCAACTGACCGTCGCAGCACGGAGAGTTCGATGTCACCATGAGAACCGATTACCACAGAAAAGGAGTCGGCTTGATCTTCACAAAAAAAGCTGTAAGCCTAAAACATACATTTTTATATAACGGGCAGAATATGTCGAAATTTTAAAGTTTTTAATTAAATATCAATTATCCTTTTCGTTTCGCTTGTAAGTACAAAAATCACTTTATTAAATGCTTGATGTTAAATGGTTGGGAAGATTCTGATAGCATTGAAACCCATTGCTAGTGCACTATTTACATTATTCGGATTATTGTCCTCATCTTTGTCGCCATATTTATTACAACGTTTCGGCCGTTGTACGCTCCGGCCTTCTTCAGGTGGTTGGAATGTCGAACTGAACCCTTTATTTCGCTCACTGGGGTAGACTGTTCTAGTTCCACGTGCCATGTTTGGTGGATGTCAGTTATCAGTTATCTCCTGTTTGTGAGCGAAATAAAGGTTTCAGTTTGACATTCCAATCACCTGAAGAAGGCCAGATCGTACAACGGCCGAAACGTTGTAATAAATATGGCGTCAAAGATGAGGACAATAGTCCGAATAATGTAAATAGTGTACATAATACCTCATCTCAGAAATATAGACAGATACTGAAAGGCCGAAACGTTGTGATAAATATGGCGACAAAGATGAGGACAATAGTCCGAATAATGTAAATAGTGCACATAATACCTCATCGCAGAAATATAGACAGATTATTAGTGCAATAAAAATATTATTCTTTTTGTCTACGTATAACCGTGGTTGTAATTGTAAATAAAGATTATCTTTCTCATTTCCATAAACATTTACGTTTGTTTCCATCGATGTCTTGTTTACATTGTTAACTTTCATATCAGATTTGTTGTCGCTTGTTCCCAAACAGAAGAAATTTCATGATAATATACTAAGTTGCCCCATCTCTAGCTTTTATTTTGTTGCTTCTTGTATTATCGTCAGGTAAACGTTCGAGATCGCAGGCGTCAACTTCCAATTTATTTTTTCGATATATATTACTCTTTGAGGAGATTTTCAATAGATGTAATATGACCAGGTAAAGGATATTGGATGATAACGACATACATTGAATCAATTGCTTCATCCACCGCAAGGAAAGTTGGTTCCCTGTGTCGCGCCAGAAAGATTTTTTCGCCTGTGTTCATCCTTCAAATCTATAAATCAACCATTCACCCTTGCATGGTATACAGCTACTATATTTTGGTCTAGTGCCACCGCTGTTCGTCTTAAGGTCCTCGACAAAATCCAGAGACGGATATGCAATGTGATCTGGCATCTCGTATACAGCTGCTCTCTCACATACGTGCCGTCGCCTCCCTCTGTCTTTTCTACAAATACTCCGACGAGCTACTTTCACTAGTTCCCAGACAGCATGAATTTAAACGTGCCACTAGGTCGGCATCTCAGTCCAACGCTTTCCCTGTCGAAACGGTTAAATGTAGCCGTCTCTTCTACTCCAATAGCTTCATGTCTCGCACCTCCCGTCTGTGGCATTCCCTTCCTATTACTTGTTTCCCTGATAGCTATCTCCAACTATCCAAATGCAATGTCAATCGACTTCTCCAGATGCCTAATCTATTCCCTATCCTTCTATTCATCTTTTCCTCTATCACGCCTCTTTACTCTCGCTCCCAATCTCTGTAACCCCGTGCGTTCTAGTGGCATCCCGCCTTGCTAGGAGTGAAATGCTTATATATATATATATATATATATATGCGATGATCTGAAAGTGGGCATGATTGTTCCCTGCGACATATTTGCAAGTTGAAGATGGGCTTCAAACAGGCCAGTT